AAACCTTTATCAAGTGTTGACAACAGCCCTCTGACCTCTGTGTGCCATAACACATAGTGTTTTTTTCTCCTTTAAGAGCTTTTGATTAAAAACATATTCAAAGACATCAATTCCCATTTATTTATTATGGACCTCATTCAGATGTCACCTTCTGTAGCCACTTAGGCTAAAATTGCAGATGCTGCCTTGAACAATTCCCATACCCCTTCCCAGCTTTAATTTTCATCTTTGGCACTTCTATTTAATATGCTTTCATATTTACTTAGGTTTTTTTGTTTGTTTGTTTTTGTTGTTGTTGTGTGTTTTTTATCTGCCTCACCTAGAATGTAGGTTCTTGTGAGCTTAGTGATCTTGGATCAGCTGTACCCCCGATGACAGTAGAGACATATTGAATGTGCTCAGCAAATATTTGTGGAATGAGTGAATAGTGTCCATGAGGTTATTGAGGATGTTATATTGCACACATAATATATATCATTCTCATAATCATTCAGAATCTCAAAGGGCTTGTTACTAACTCAATAGATACAAGGTAAGTGAAAAGTCAGCAGGCTAGTGGTCAAGGGGTATCTGCAGATTTAGCTCGGCTTAACTTAATCTGCCTCTAAAAGGTCCCAGGTTTGATTCAGGTCAAGGGCATGTACCTTGGTTGCGGGCACATCCCCAGTAGGGGGTGTGCAAGAGGCAGCTGATTGGTGTTTCTCTCTCACCAATGTTTCTAACTCTCTATCCCTCTTTCTTCCTCTCTGTGAAAAATTAATAAAATATATTAAAAAGAAAAAAAACTAAAGCTTGCTTTCCTTGCTATTCAAGGGGCTCCTATTATGTTAAAAATTCTTGGTCTGAGCATACCTTTTGCAGCGTTGATTGACCACTGCTTCATGGGAATAAGAAATTTACCTCTTATTAAAAGCTCCATGTACATGGTATTTTTTCAGACCTATCAAAGAAGCAGGAACAAATTTGCTTGGTTATGCTGGTGAGCCTTTCTCCCAGGACTATCAAGATGCGAGTATATAATAACAACTCCCAAATCTGGAGACAGCAGGGAAACTAACAAAATCAACCCACAATGAATTAGCTGCAACCTATCCTGTTTCAAAATTAGAATATGCTTTCAAATGTGAACGACTAATGGCTTTCTCAGTTTGTCTAGAAGCCATTTTAAATTAAAATTGATCAAAGATAAGGCATAATGTTGCAAATTTTATCCAAGTTAATAAAAATTGCACAAAGAAACTTAGATGAAGTTTAGGAAATGGAGAACCAGAGAAAAACCAGTGTCTCCACTCCTATCCAAGAAAAAAAGTTATTGATATCTAACCCTAAAGTCCAAGAGGCCAGTCACAAGACCAGCTCAATGAGCACCCTGCTTCCTCTGTTATAATTTGATGTGTAATTCCTGCTCCAGAGTATGTCAGCCAACCAGTGAGGGGGGAAGTGCAGTCCAGATTGTGCTCAATGTAAAAATCACTCACTGGCATTCTACCTTTCAAATATTCTTTTGTGTTTAGTTAGTGTAACTCAGCTCCCTCCAAAAGCATGACCCCTCACCAAACCGGCAAACTGAATTTTGGAGCCTGCAACGCTGAGACCCAGTCCCTGGGCACTCTGCCTTGTGCCGCCAGCCCGGCATGACCAAGCCAGCTGGCCCCGTGGATCTTTGCTGCAGAAGAAGAGGGATGCCAGGCATTCTCAGCAGCCTGCTCACAGGAGCCAGCCTTCTTTCTGCCTCACATTGGGACCAGGGTTTCAGAAGAAGGAATTAGACATGAATTTCATTTGGGGACATTTTCAGGGCAGACGCCCAGCAGAAGCGTTCTCAATAGTGACTGAGAGTTTGTGTCTCCCCTAGAACCCACGGTTCAATGAACTGACTGTGGCCTGGCCGAGCAGCCAAGCAGCCAGGCCCTGGAGGCAGTGTGCTTGAAACTTCAGTTGTGGCTTCAGAGAGGCTGGAGGAGCCCTAGAACGATGCAGTGAAGCGCTGATAGACAAACAGCTACCTGCTATTCACTGCCCTTCAATAACCAGAGGCACTGCTTCTGCAGTGTAGCATGTGATTTCCAATGGAGGCCGAGGACAGTGTTCCTGTGTGCATGTGTTTTTTAAATTTTTCCCAACAGATTCAAGACAACATCACGTTTTTAAAGCAAACAGTTTCTTAATATCATTTGTTTACCAGTCTATCGTCCAAATGTTCCCAATTGTTCTAAGGTGTTCTTTGCATCTAGAACATTGCATTACATCAAACTGTTATGTCCCTAAACCTCTTCTGGCATACAACACTCCCTTTTTTCATGGCACTGACTTTTTAAGAGGTCAAGCCAATTGTCCTCATAAAATAGCTCACCTTTTATATTCGTCTGCTTGATTCTTTGTGGTCTTAGTGTGTCCTTTATACCTGTGTTTTGGGTAAATGGCAAATCAGATTTAAAGCTCTGATTAGATTCAAGTTAAATTAAATAAAATCAATTCACAGGGTTGCTGGAAGTATCACATGAGCTATCCATGTACCCAGGCTTTGCTGGGTGCCTGGTGCCATGTACTCCAGTTATTGTGGTGCATTTCCGTATTTTGGTTGTGGCTCCTTGGAAAGCATTATCCACTCACTGCCAGTCTCAAGTCTCAGAGGCAAATGGCAACACACTGCATGACACTGCTGCGGAGTTCAAGTAGTCAGACTTTGAAGAATATTGATTTATACCATTTTTAAAGGCAAATTGGACTTTGTTTCAGATAAGAACTACCCAGATCGATGTTTCCTAAGATGTGTTATAAGAACCAATGGGCCCCGGACATGTTCCCTGGGAGAAGGGTTCCATTGTTGAAATGGCATCTGGGAAGTGCTGCCCATTTTTTTTCCTCTTCAGGGGTTTCGTTGTGCATATTATTAAATTAAAAATTCTGGAAAACCTCTCAGGAAAGAAACCTGCTTCACTTTGCTTAATCAACTATTCTCTCATCTATTTGCCTGTGGAAACTACCCACCCCTCCTCCACCTTTTCAAACCAAGTAATACATATAAGCATTACATTGAGCTGCATTAGCTTTTCCCAAAGGCTTGAATGAGGAGGGCGTCAAACGGATGAGCAGACTTCCAATGGAGTGTTGGAAGCGTGGGCCTCTGGCCTTTGAATCCTGAAAAGCCGTGCAATCTAGAGGAGTTCCTAAGGGGTTCGCTTCTTTGTTGGTGCAGGAACGGCAGATATTGGAGACCCCATAGTAATTCAACAATCAAACTCTCTTCCTTAGATTTTTTTTCCAAGTCTCAACAGGACTCCTAGAGAATATCAGAGTCCATCCTTCCTGTAGGTGCTCCACAGCCACTGGAGCTTACTTAGATTGACAGAAATGAGTCCCTTGGGCTGATGCACAGAAACCAAACGGCAGGTGTCATGGTTCAGAGGAAGAGTGGAGGGTTGTAGTCAGAAAAACAGGGTGTCATTGTCTTGTCTCTACCAGGTAGTCATCTTGATCCCTGGGCAAATTCCTCACTCTCTCTGACCTTCAGTTTCTTCATCTATGTGATAGGGACAATTAAAGCACTTAGCTCAAATGGTTGTGAAATTCTCATTAGAGATATGAAAGCATTTTTAAAATATGGAGTGCCATATAATTGCCAATTAATTTTAATCTTCATATCCCATATTTTTGGGGCCCACTAGTCATTCTAGTTTTCATTCAACATCTTGTCAAATATTATTGAGCCACTTACAATGTGCCAGACACTGGGTTAGGTGCTGATACAGATCTGATAAAGCAAATTTAGTCCCTGACTTCATGGAGCTTGCATTCCACAGTGGGAGACATATGATAAGCAAATATAGGCACAGATCAGTATGTCAGTATAGTCCTCTCCTCAGGTACTGATGTGATATTTTGAAAATAGGCTTATTGCTATAATCTACTGTACGTAGATGCATATGGAAGGTAATATTCATGAACTGCTCTCAGAAAATTTGTTTGTCAGTTTAAATAAAGAATACGATTATTAGTATAGAACTGAAAGAGACCTAAGGAATAATTTATCTCTATCCATTTTATAGATGAGGAGAACTAGAACCAGAATACTGGAGAAATTACCCAGTCACATATTTTGGTTTTGTGCATGAGTACATGCATGTGGTGTGTGTGTGTGTGTGTGTATGAGAGGGAGAGAGAGAGAGAAAAAAAGAGAGAGGGAAAGGGGGGAGAGAGAGAGAGAGAGAGAGAGAGAGAGAGAGAGAGAGAGAGAGAGAGAGAGAGAGAGATATCAGAATCTTGAGGGGCCGGAGCTCAGAACCCAGTTTTTACTCCCCCTAGTCAGCTTCCCACTCTGCTGGGTCCCCCTGAAATGAACTGTAAAAGCCCGCTTCTGTTTTAACAGTGTGTGATGATTATCACACTTGATATAATGTGTTCCAGTTACAAGAGATTGGAAATGAGGCACAATTGATTTTTTTCCAAACTTTGCTCCGAGTAACAAGTATTTTAATAGATGTTAATAGGTTATCACTTTGAGTTTCTTAGTCAAATTAGTTTAGGAAACCCTGCATACTCCCCCACCTTACTTTAGAAATCCATACATGATGTGATAATGTAAAAGACCATGCCTGCAGTAAGGAAAGCTCTTCAACTCTGCTCAGCTCAGCATTTCCCAAACTTATTTGACTACAGAATCTATTTTGAATTATTTTAACAAAGTGAGCAGTGTGCTGGGTGGGCAGTGCATGCTTGGCATTAACTTGGTTGGCTTCTTGGTAACGTTTGTAAAAGCCCGATAGAAAATACACCGAATTCGGTCACACGGCTTTAGAAAGGGCAGTTTCTTGGGTCTTAGGATCTCGGGCTGACTGAGGATGTAGGAGCAATGCCATCCCTTTTAGCCAAGGGCTGGGATGGGAAGCACTGGGAGCTTAATGAAACCAATCTCTTTAAGTTATTGGTTGTTTTTTTTTTTTAATTATCATTTTCAAGCCTTTTAAAAAAATTATGATTATTTTTATTTTTGCTTTTAGGCATTCACAAGCCCAGAGTTCTCCAAAAGAATATGATGTCTTCACAGGATATCCAAATAAGGTAGCTGGATGTCTCCATTTCGAAGTAACTGTGTATCTTTATTTCAGACTCATCCAAGTTGGGTCTGAAGTCTGTCTTTGGCTACTCGGTCCAGCCATCGAACACGGAACTGTTAGTGATGTTTTGAAGTCTTGGAGACAAAAGCCTAGCTCGCTAAAGAACTTGGTTCAGCAGAGAGACAGGGAGGTACAGTGAAGAGAGAATCAAAAGCCTGGAATTCGCTGCTGAGAATAAATGCTAGCCGCTCCCCGAGGTGATTTGTGTGTGCACTCCACTCTCTACAGATGTTAGAGCCTCTTTCTGAGCAAGGACCCGAGGTTCTTTGGTAGCACTTTGATATCCTGCTTGAATTCAATATGTGAAATGGAGGCGTCTCTCTGTGACTTGGAGCCCACAGCAGGCTTTGAAGTCTGATCCAATTTTTGCTGCCTACTATTTGATGTTGAAAGGATGAAATGAAGAAAATGTACAGTTTTTGCCAGTAACTCTGCTGAGCATATGTAAGATTAAAAAAACAAAATCCTTTGGATGATGTACTTAGAAATGTTAAGTAGATTAATACCTTCCTATAGGTTTTCTTTTTTCTTTCTTAGGGATAAACATTAAGTAGAGGAGAAAATCAGCACGTAGCTATTTTTATATTCTGGACTATAATTAATTGAAGAAGGGGCCAGGTTAATGTGCTCAGAGGAAAAAGTAAATGAATGAAGTAAAGGATGTCAAGACTTTGCTACTATTTGTCCCCGAGGGGAGCAACTCCACTCAATTGTAATGCACGACCATGGCAACGTATAACATGACCCCAAAATACTTAGCTTCCTCCCCATACGACCAGGGTCAGGGGCCCCTTAGTTAAATGGAAGCCATGTCCTTGAAGTGGTCTTATCAGTGGATAAAAGTAATGTTTTTCTTACTGGGTCTTTCTGAAGCACTCGGCGTCTGGGACTGATCTGCTGTCTTCTCGGACATGCCATGCTGCTCCGGGTCGCCCAGGACCGAGTCCCGCGAGGGGAGACCCTGCAAATGCTGGTAAGAAGAACAGTTTGATTGCTTGCTACTTCTACCTTTTGCCTGCCTGTGTACTTTTAGTGAGTTACGTGGGCAGTACTGCCCCGAAGGCAGAACTCAGATAGTAATATAAGCTAGTGTCAACACAAATTTCAAGTTTGGGAAGCCATGAAGATTGGAAGCTGTTTGCCCACTACCCATGTCATGTAAGTTTACTTTTCTGAAGGAAGAAAAAATGGATAGAAGATGCCATACTCTTCCTTTTAGGTGTAAGAATCTTACACTAAGAAACTGCTTAAAACTTGGTTTTGTTAAAGGAGAGATAAACAAACAGCTGACCAGCTTTCAGTGGAGCAGATTGTTCAAGGCCAACATCTAGGGCTTGGTACAGAATATGGATTTAGTGGGTAGGTCGGCTCTCCTGGCAACATAGCCACTCTTCCAGCACGAATGCAAATATCTTGCCACAGTTATTTGAGAAATAACTATTTCTGGCCCCTTTTCTAAATGATTTGCTATAGACTATGGCAGTGGTTCTCAACCTTTCTAATGCCGCGACCCTTTAACACAGGTCCTCATGTTGTGGTGACCCCCAACCATAAAATTATTTTTGTTGCTATTTCACAACTATAATTTTGCTACTGTTATGAATTGTAATGTAAATATTTGTGTTTTCTGATGGTCTTAGGTGACCATCTAAATAGAAAATAATTTTATGGTTGGGGGTCACCACAACATGAGAAACTGTATTAAAGGGTTGCAGCATTAGAAAGGTTGAGAACCACTGGTCTATGGTAAAGTCATTTGGGGGGCTTATATGTGGCTAAAATCAGTACTTCTGGAAAATTAAATAGAAGCGTGAGTATCAGAAATATTTATGAACCAAAAGATACTCAGGACAATGTCATTCCAAAAAAAACTTTTCAACTTAAAATACCAACTTACTGCCGGCCTTATTTATTTTTCTGAAATATGCAGTAGATTCTCAGGTCTGTCCAAATTGCTTCCTTGTCTTTTTTTTTTTTTTTTTTTTTTTTTTTTTCAGTGAAAAAGTAGTACTATAAATGGGAAATGTATAAAAAAGTATGTGGATATTTGTCCACATGGAACTTAAAGTTCTGAAGAAAGACAAGAGAGGACAAGTGTATCATAACAGAACTTTTAAAATGGATATAGAGAAAGTGATAAACTTGTCAAAGGGAATATTTTCCCCACAGCCAGACTGTTCAGGAATAAGGCCAGCATGAGGTAGAGGTAGGATTAGTGCAAAAAGAGGAAAATTTTGGGAAAATGCATTGTGGTAGAACAAAATCCATTATGTAAGAGTTTAGTTGATGTTTTTCTCTATCTAAACAGAACCTCTTTATCTTTTAATTGGGGGTATTTAGACCATTTACATTTAGTGTGATTATTGGTATGTTTTGATTTAAATCTATCATCTTGCAATTTGTTTCATTTTGACTGTTGTTTCTTTTGGCATTCTTCTTTAAAATACATGTAACTGTAAAATACATATGAAAAGAAAATGTTTAAGTATGGTTGATTAATTAGTCAGAGGCACACATTCTGAAGTCAGATCTGCCTAGATTCAAACCTCTGCTCTTTTGTGTATGTTAATAAAGTTACAAAATTCCTTACCTTATTTTACATATGTAAAATGAAGGAAGTAGTGGTTAGGGTTAGGGTTAGGGTTAGGGAAGTAGTGGTTTATAGCTGATGGATTATACTGAGGAATAAATTAGCTAATATACTAGTAAGTATAGGGCATAGCAAAATGTCTATGGTGTGGTAATTTTTGTTATTGATATTATGTAAATGAAAAATTAATTTATAAGTATGAATAATAAAGAATCAAATACCTATTGTAAAGCATTACATTTTAGTGGGATAGTTCAAGGGGAGTTAACATATATTGTATTTGAGCTAAATATTAAAGAGAACTTGTTGGATTACTCCCTACTACTATCTCAGAACATGATCATTAACAGTTATTTTTCACAATCTTTAGGAAAGTAACCCATAAAGTCAAACTTACTTTTTCACATTTGACATGCTATAAATGGCTCATATGTACTTTCCTGTCATAATTATTCCTTCCAACCTAGATGGTTTCTATTGAATTTGCCACCATTGTCATCACTTCTCTTTTACTCTAGTGGTCTTCCTACCTTCATTATTTTCCTTCTTCAATGTCTCTTATGCACATGTGCCTGAGGAGCTTTTCTAAAGCATACCCTGATCATCACATTCCCTTCCTTCATACTCTTCAATGAATTCCTATTGCTCCACCATCAACTCGCCATCAAAATTATATTATTTTCAGGGATGCAGCATAGTGGTTAGACATTTATATAACTTGCAAGGCAATCTTTCTAATAAGTCTAGTACCCATCTTACATTATGCATAGTCATTACAATATTATTGACTATATTCCCCATGACTATTTTGTAACTGCAATTTGTACTTCTTAATCCCTTTTCACTCAGCCCCCGCTCATCTGGAAACCATTAGTTCTCTGAATCTATGAGTTCATTTCTGTTTTACTTGTTTATTTTATTCACTAGATTCCACATAAGTGAGATCATATGACATTTCTGCCTTATTTCACTTAGGGTAATACCTTCTGTTCCCATCCGTGTTGTTGCAAATGGCAAGATTTCATTATTTTTAATGGCCAAGTAGTATTTCATTGTGTGTATGTACCACATCTTTATCCACTTATCTATTGTTGGACACTTAGGTTACTTCCATATCTTAGCTATTGTAAATAATGCTGCACTTAACATAGGAATGCATGTATCTTTTTAAATTAATGCTTTGGATTTCTTCAGATAAATACCCAAAAGTGGTATTATTGAGTCATATGATAGTTATATTTTTAATTTTTTGAGATATTTTCATACATATTTTTGGAATTTGCAATCCCACCAACAATACCTTTTCTCCACATCCTTGCCAACACTTGACCTTTGATATATTGATGACAGCCATTCTGATAAATGTGAGGTGATATCTCATTGTGGCTTTAAGTTGATGATTAATTAATTTTTATATGTATATTGGCCATTTGTTTGTTCTCTTTGAAGAAATGTCTATTCAGGTCCTCAGCCCATTTTTTAAGCAGATTCTTTGTTATCTTGGTGTTAAGAACTCTAAGTTTCTTTGTATGACATTCAAGTCTGTATCTGTTCTGGTCCAAATCTTATTTTCTAGTACTGCCTTCTACTGATCTCTTTCTCTCATTCTGTGCTTCAGAATATCCAAATTATTCTCTATTCTTCAAGCATGCCCAGTGTGTTCTTTTTCTCCTGTGTGACTTTGTTCATGCCCAACCGGTCCTTCTTTCCTGTTCATTCTTACAGTCCTCTCCATTCTTCAGAATCCACAATGGCTCCCTCCTCGTGCCCTGTGACATTTCTTATGGTACTTACATTCTGCCTTGTACTATAGTTATTTTCTATATACCAGGTCCGGTGGGGTGTGGGAGGAGGCAGGGTTTAAGTAATCTGAAGTTACTCAGTCAGGCCAGCTCTGCTCAGGGCAGACATGCAAAGAAGTGTTCAAATGTGGGGCTTGGACAAAGGCTGTCATCAGCCACTTAATCAGAGTCTCAGAAGTCTCTCAATTGGTCCATTTAAGCCTTACATGGGGGAGAAAAGCACAGCATACCCAGGAAGTGCATAATACGAATCACTTTGCCCCTACTCCGAGCAGTGAAATTATTTAGCTGGACTGACAGACATATACACAGATCTTACCTGATTTTACTGTGTAAAAATGTATTCCTCAGGCATTTGTTCTATTTATTTATTCAAGAAACAATTATTAACACTGAGTGCCAAGAACTATTCTGGGCCAGCACTTCTCAAACTATTTTGAAAGACCAGTTTGGAGTTTATTGTATTCATTTTCAATTTACAGTTGATAATTTTATAATAATTTACTAGATAGTTGCACACTAATGTGTTGTGTCAATATAAAATTGATCAAAACTTTTCAAAATTTCTTACTCTAAATTAAATTACTCTCTATTTCTTTGTTCATCTTGTTGGGATTGATAACAAACTGTGGCCCATACAGTAGACCACATGTCACTGTTCTAGGCATGGTGATAAACCAGGGAACAACAATCAGAAATTTCTGTTGCCCAGTTGGCTTGACTCAGTGGTTGAGCTCTGACCTATGAACCAGGAAGTCATGGCTTGATTTCCGGTTAGGGCACATACCCTCCCACCCCCTTCAGTGTGGGTCATGCAGGAGGCAGCCAATCAATTATTCTCTCTCATCATTCATGTTTCTACCTCTCTCTTCCTCTCTGGAATCAATAAAAATATATCGATGTTTTAAAAATTCCTATCCTCACAGTGCTATGTTCTAGCAGAAGGAGGCAACACTAAACAATAAGCATAACGTATAAGTTGGTTTATGGGATGTTAGAAGAGTGAAGTGTTGTCATAGGGGAGAAAATAGAGCAAGGAAGGTTAGGAGTGACCTAAGTATGGAAGACTGGGTGAGGGTGGTGTACTTGGCTTCATTGAGAAGCTGGGAGGTGATGAGCTAGTTAATCATGTGGATGTCTAGGACAAGAGCATAACGGGCAGAGGGAACAGCTGTGGCAAAGGCTCCGAGGAGAGAACGTGTGTGGAATCCACGAGGTGAAGAAAGAAAGACAGTGTGATTGGAACTGAAAAGGCAAGGACGAGAGTGGTCGGAGGTGAGGAGCCAGATGATGCAGGTGACCTGATGCAGCAGGTCTGGCTGGCTCCTGAGATCCTGCGACACCAGTGAGCTTCCGGGTGGCGCTGATATTGTTGATCAGAGGTCGGCGTTTTGAGTAATGAGGGTAAACTCAGTGAAATGGGGAGCCACTGAGCATTTCAGCAGATGGATGATGTGACCTGAATTATGTTTTAAAATGATTACTCCAGTTACTGGGTTAAGTGTAGACTAAAACATTATCAATAAATGAAATATCATGTATAAGTGGCATTGTCTAGGTAGCTAAAAACCTACGACTTCC